CAGGTCGCCTCCTTCTCTCAGATCCCTTTGTTGCATTGATTGAACACTCACTCGCGAAAATATGAGAAACGCGTGCGAACTAATTATTATATCAATAAATATGACGCGCGATACTATACGGCACTTTCGAAAATATTATTCAAAACTGGTTAAAACGCGATTGTCCGCAATTTGCTTATACACTCAACATTTTCGAGCATCAATAAAAAATAAATGCAATGTCGAAATTCTCATTTCACCGTCTGTTGGAGTTATAAAATAAACTGCGTTGATCTCTGTAAAAAACAAATGTAACATCTAAATTACACAATGCTCAAGATAATTAATATTTTATAAAGTAATTAGTGTGCGTATTGAATTTTTTGGTTTTTTTTAAACAAGTATTTTCTAAAAAGATTATATAATTTTTTCAAAAAATATATATTGAAATAGTTTATTTAATTACATTTATTTATATGTGTGTGTATAAAGCGCATATTATATTTTATTAAATATTTAAAAAAAGAATTTTATAAAACAAAATATCGCAACATTTTACGTATATTATATCATACAATAATATTTGGTAAATAAAAGTTTAATTTTTCTCGAAATAATTATCTAAAATTTTAAAAATGTTGACGTATTATGTATGTGTATCTTAAACTATTTATATTTTACTTTATTGTTTGTTTTATACTTCAATTTATATGAGAATTTTAAGATATTTTGAATTTTTTTGATAAAATATTTCACACATTTAATAAAAAAGTAATAATATCAATATCCCTAGTATTTTAAATATTATAATGTGCCAAATATTTTGTTAAATTCAATGATAAATTTTATTTTTTATTTATTACAATAAGTGTATGTCTAAGATGGTGTATTCCAAATCAAATCTATGATTTTTAATTTTAAAATGTCAAAACACTGTTGTATTTATCGTATGATCAAATTGATTATTTCTAAATTTCATTATTCATTATTTTTTTGAAAGTTATTTATTTACCAAACTGATGTAATTCAACATACGATAATTTTAAATGATAATTGAATTAGTTAATTTTTATTCATCACTGAATATATAAATTATTAAGAAAACCATTTATTCGTATATATTTAATTCGTGTAAATATTTATTTTGTGTAAAATAATTTTCTGAAAAATGTAATGTGCACAATATCTCTAGGGAAAAAAAAAACAAAAAAATTTATTTATTATTTAATGCTCACTGCACTCAATTTTGATTTTAGAATGATAAAATATCTGATAGGATATTTTACAAATTAAAATGCAAGTACAATAAATAAATGCCTAAATTTATACGAAGCACGTAATAAATACAGAAAAAAATTCGCACATGTAACTAAATATAAATATAAAAAATATAAGTGTAAAAAACTATAAAGCAATATCTCAATTCTAATACCAGTTTATATCTTTTTTTAAAGAATACATTTATTATTAAAAAGGAAAATGTAAGGAAAAGTTTATAACTGTATTACAATTTTATAACTATATTAATATTTCATTATTTATGTTAGAATTTATAGAATAAATTATTCTAGAAAAATTAAAATAATATTGATTTTGTAATTAATTACTCGAAATGTTAAATAATTAATATCTTTCGCGAATTAATATTTTTTACTATGGTATATAAAGTTTAATATATTGAAATATATATTATACTTTATATACCATTATATATACTTTATATACCTTATATACCATAAATATAATATATTGAAATGTAATCAAACTTTCATGTTTCGTTTCCACATCTGTTTTCATATTTTAATACTGCAAGTTTCACATCTAAATTATGAAATTAAAAAAATATGTGTCATATTACGAATTAATTATCGATTTTCGTCAAATTTAATTTTCATGTCCATCTTGTATGCATATTCAAATTCAAGTAAAAATATAAAAATTTTGGTATATATTGATATATTGGTATATTTGGTATATAAAATATAGATGAATTTATTCACTACATTGGAATATAGAGTAGTGTTTATTACACGATATTTTATTTACCAAGTTAATGGATATCGTATTATATGTTGCATACAAAACAATTTTTATATTTTATACTATTATCGATTATAATTTAATGAATATATTTTACATGATGTTAGATTACAATTTTACTTTTAAAAATTAATTTAATATAATTTAAATTTAATTAAATTCATCATTAGAATTGAACATAAAAATCAAAAAATTACTTTTATTATTTTTAATGTCTCAAAATAACTTTTTTTCCAAAATAATTATGAGATTGATAAGACTTATTTATATGTCAATTAATATGTAGTTACCAGATAACTCTAGCAATTATTCAGAGAATGAACGGAATTAAACCAAGCGACTTAACCTGTTCGTTGCCCAGCTTCCCCACCAGCTTTGCAGCCAAATTGACATCCGTTGGAGCACTTCTCCGAAGACCATCGAATACGTATCGATCAGAAAAACGCGACTAATTACGCTCGTGAAATTATTAATAACAAATTCTCGACACTCCCGATTCACACTCGCTCGCGATTCATATTCTTCGGCATTTCCGAACTCTCACCCTCTCAGCTTTTGACATTCCCAATGTACGCCGTGTAGTTCGTACTTCGGCAGTCTCGATCGTTCCGACTCGATGTATTCGCGTGTATTCGCCGACCGCAGGACTCTAATTAACACGTGATGATGATCAATCGTGCGATTTCATCGCGCACGTAGATCGAACAGCGTGAAACGGACGAAAGGAAATTCCGATGTCGCGCGTCGGGGGATGCAATAGCAACGCAGGTTATGAGTACCGAGACAGAGATGCGCTTAATTACAATCGCGCATACAAATTGGTAACCCGCGACCTTTGTTGTGTGCTCGCCACCGCTCGGTATGAGAAATCACGCGAGACTGCGACATCGCGCTGTTTTGTAGCCTGGCTGCTGTAGCGTTACGTTTATACGCGGCGACCTTGCCGGCCGACTCAGCACCAACATTGAAAAGAGACGCCTTATTAAAAAACAGAGCGTAAACATTGGCATCCCTCGAAGTTCGTCGTTCCCCACGTCTTTACATTTTCCTCGAAACCAATGATTTTATTGTTCTACGAATAATAATCCTATCGACGTCGAGAATATGCAACTACGTACAATGTATGATGCCAAATACGCTCTTGAAATATTTTCCTTTAATATCTTATGTTTATTGATAGTGAGGTTATAATCTTATGAGAAATAGTCTTTTATCTATGTCGACAAACGTATTATTGTACATTCGCGGAATATTTTATGTCTAGCCTTTAACATTTGTAAATTTCCATACGGACGTTTTTATAATTATATTTCAAGAGTCGTTATATTTTAATAAAAATCTCATTCGCGGTGAAAGGTGATTTATATTAAATGGTGTGTACTATTAGACTCTACATACAATATTAGAAACAAGAATAAATATTAAATTTTAGAAATAAAAATTATAGAGAAGAGAGGAGATTAAACGTTGCAAAACAGACATAAGTAAATATAACTATATCTTATTTATGTTCATTGTGTTTAATCTTTATTTTTAATTTTTATTTCCAAATTTTAATATCTATTTCCTTTCCTAGTATTCCCTTTATTATACGCAGAGCTTACGCGCTTTATTCTGTGATTACTACTATTACTACTATAATTACCACTAGTAATATAATGGCCTTAACTTCTGTGTCTTGAAGAATACAAAATCGAAAATTAATAAAAACTAAGTCAGAATTTGGAGACAAAGGAAGAGATGCATAATGACGCAATATAAAAATTATCTAGGAGTAGGAGACGCGTCCGCTCGGTACAACGGCCCGGAAACGACTACGTTCTTGTGAATGTTTTCGATTTAGCCGTTGACTGTTTTTTTCCGAGCAACCGCGCGATACGCAGGCCGGCAGTGTAAACACGACCTTGACGCGTCGATTGTACTACGAAGGAAGCCCGAGACTCAATTTCGCTTTGACTCTCGTGTTGAGTGTTACGATAATTACGAAACCGTACCGCTTAGCGCGAGTGATTATACAAATGTGTTGAGTGATTTCATGTTGCCATTCTACAAAAGAAACATAGAAAGCCATGGATTAATCAGGTAACCAACATTACATAATGTTAAGCTATTGATCGAGAGTTCTTTCTTGTGTTTTTCAAAGACTAAGGCCGGTATTCACAGTCCGTTTTTATATTTAAGATCATCTTAAGTTAGATCTCAGGTCGGTTTAAAATCTTGCTCAGCCAATGAAATGATCGTATTACATCTTGAATTAATGTTTAAAATGATCTTAAATGTGAGAACTGACTATGAATATCAGCCTAAGAATTATAAAAACGAATATGATTTTAATATGCATTTAAAAAAATGAAATTCGATCGAAGCTCTCGAGCAGTTTATAGTGTCATTTTTTAAATTAATGTAAGAATAAGAAACTGCACTTTCGACTGCGAATTTTTTATATGTAATAGATATAATTTAAATATTAATGTTCAATATTGCATTTGTTTTTACTTCTCGAGAATTTTTCTCGATAAAAATTTTTACATGTCACAGTTAAAAGATTAATAAATATATCTAAGATACAGAATATACTGAGTGCGATTAATTCTTTCAAGCATTTTGGGACGAGAATACTGAATACGAGAATACTAAAAAAATAATTAAATGTAAAATTCACATCTGCAGTTTATTCTTCGAGATAAAGCCGCGAAAAAAGATTTAAATATGAAATAATATGATTGTGTTGTTAATAATCGCGAATGCGCGATATTTATAGTCTCGATAATCTCAAAATTGTTTTTCATCTATTTATTTTTATGAAAAAAATTAATGAAAACATATATTCTATGATACACGTTTCTTCGATTTACGGCGCGAAATAATAACTATTGCATAAAATATCATTAATATATGACGCATCGATAATTTTATTAAATACGCATATCAAGATCGAAAATTTTTATTCTATAAAATTCATTTTTTAAATAAAATATGCATTATAATATATTATATATTTATATTGTTACATCGTCATTTTCATAAGAACGCAATGCAAAATATATATAATAAAGATTCTTAACACGCAGTTAAACAAAATTTAAACATAATTAAAAACAATAAAAAAACTAGAATTATTATTATAATTATTCGCCGTATACCGCATTACAATTGCAATTAACTTGCCTAATACTTCTGACGTTCGTTTTGACTTGCAAGTTATTTTTTACAAAAAAAATCACAAAAAATATGCAAAGTAACTTCAATGTTTTTTAGACGCTAAAAGTTATGACGCAAAATAATGATTATTATATAAAATATCATTTAATTCGTACAACGACAACTTCGACGATGTGCACCACGACGACGAGAAGCTTTTTTCATATAAATTTCATTTTTGAAATCGAAACAAAACCGAAGCGAAGTATCTATTTTACCATTTTACGTCTCTATCAGTGCAATGCAAGATCGATATTGTAATTAAGACTATACTCTACGCAAAGACTGTACTCATGCGAAGTTGACGTATATTCAAATCGAAATAAGATATTTATTGCATTACAATGTTTATTACAATGTCAATTAATATCAATATGTTGCGGCACGAAATATGCATCGCAACTCAGATTATCTTGCGTCACGTTGTTGGACGAATATGAAAAAAAAAAAAAACGCGCTCGCGACTACTCGGCGTACCGTGTTGCAATTGCGACCGGTATTTATGATCTACTCCCGACATTTGTTTTCACTCAAGTCTTCTTTTGTGATAAAATCACAAGGAATACGAGCGAAGTGAATGGCGGCTGTCACTTGAAGTATCATTCGCGCGCGGCGTGTCACCAACTTCATACCCTTCGAACGCACGCGCGATAAGGTTCGAAAACCTTATCGTTTAAAATTCACTTTCCATGTACGAAATAAGGTATTCATTGTAACTTATTATATATATTTATTATATTACATTGCTATTTGATATCAAATATGATACCTTGAAATAGGCATCGCAGTTAAAGTTGTATTGCATATCATATTGGTTGAAGGATATTGAAATATCTTTAAAAATGCTTCCAATAATATACTTATAATAATCCCGGCGTATCATCTTGCAATTTACGTTACTGACATCCGGTTTCATCCGCGTTGCATTTTCTATAGATAAAAAACTACGAGAGACTTACGAAATGATTTCGATATAAGTTATTAAAAAAATTGCAGCGCGAAATGGCGGCTATCGCGTCAAGTATCGTTCGATTGCGATTTATACGCGAAGCGTTTATTTTTATTTGATACGCGTTCGAAAACCTTTCTCATCTGAAACTTTCGAACATAATCGAAATAAAATACTTACATTTTATTACATACACCTATTATTACATTTATTATTAAATTATTATTAAATTAAGTTAAGCTTGATATCAATATGCTGTGCAAAATTGTGAAGTAGATCGCATTACCGACGAGGCATTATTAACAATTTCCGTACATTTTTTTTTAATTAATTATAAATTAATTAACGCGGTTCTCGAAGACCTGAATGTAATAGATCACAAATATTTCAGACTGTTTGAAACATCTGACATAAATATCTACATGCTTAATCTACAACGCGGTATCAATGATTTATGATTATCCAGATGTTTCGTAGACAGGCGCAAAAAATATTATATGTATTTTCGCGGAATTGCATTTCGTAGTTATCATTCATGTGGACAATCGGCCACGGATGATAGGTATGAAGTGCAAGGTTGAAATAAATGTAAATATTCTTGCATCCTGCACAAGTAACTGAGAAGCATCTAAATATCGATGAATTGGAGGATTATTCTTGTAAATTAATCGTCCTAAATATCGATAGTCACGCATATCTCGATGCGATCTTTAATTAACATCTCGTCGTTAAGTACGTTCTACACACAAAGAGATCACCATTTTGCATTTGAATAATAAAAGTATGCGGCTACTCACAACGATAACTCGATGTTCCATTTTCAGCCGCAAGTCGCTCGTTGTAAGAAAAAGAAAAAAAATTACGAAAAAATCCACGGAGCGATTGCGATGCGTTTTCGTCGCGGATTGACCGCCATGACGCATAATGGCGGCCGTCGCGCGATGCACCGTCCGACAAACATTTGAATCGATGTGTCATCGCCGTTCGCAAAACGCGCCCGCAACTCGTTAATTAATTGCGCTTTCGTCCCGGCATTTCCCTCCTCCCTCCTGCTCTCGGGACTCGTCAACTCGCGAACAGTAAAGTCTACAAAAGAGAACGTACGATTTTGTATGATCGAGAATTATCGTGGATTAGCGCAACGCGTCCCGGCGACTTCACACTAGCGCGAAACGACGACTTGCCAACTGACGTTCGGGGGCGTACGTTGCCCATCCTGCGTTCGCCGTTGACCGCGATCTGAAATATGAGAAAAAAATAAAAAATAAAAAAACAAATGAATAAATTATATTTAATTCTTCACAAATTATCGTTTCATTTCAACGGATTAAAGTAAACTTACTTTATTTCCCTTTATTTTCATCATTCTTTTTTAATTCTCAGAATTAAAAAAAGATTAACGATAAATTAAACCGAGGTTAAAATTAAAAGGTACTAAGATGGAAGTAAATATATACTACTTGTTAAAGGTCTGAGCACACGCTATCTCTCTTTCGGTTAAGTCAAAAGTAACAGAATAAATAACCTTTCAGAAATCTATTATATCTTTTTATATTATTATATCATTAAAACATTTTTAAAAGCTTATTTGTGTCCTGAAATTTTTATTTTAAAGAAGAGGTAATACTCAGACAAGAGTAGTGTATCATATTAATACAACGATTGCATGTGATTATTATTGATGAAACTGATCGATCGAATTAGAAACGAATTAATATTATATAAACTATACCGAAATACCGTCTCTTTGCAATTTTCTCTTTACATAACAAAGTTAAACATCATTAAACTTATATATTCATAATTTACAAATATATATAAATACGTGAAATGTCATTGCGCTATAATTACAATCCTGGTCTCAAAATACGTTAATTTCAAGTATTAAGTCACACAGATTTAATCTCGCGTCGAGCGATAACATTCGTCGGCACCGTCGTCTCGTGCTGTATCCCGTTTCGACTTTATCGCCGACACTCCTTTTCTTTTATCTTTCCCGTCGATCGGCCAAAAGAGCTTTCAGCTCGAAAACGCGGTGAATCAACACCGAGTCGATGGGTCACGAGCAAGCCGGGAGAAAGAGAGACAGGAAATTCCTCGATATATTAGACATCGGCTACCGACGCGCCGATCGACCATTTTGATGCACGGCGGCGCTTCTTTGCTTGCGAAACAAACAGAGGCAATTTAGAGATCCTCCGCCGTGCTGGATAGACTCGGCAGAGAAACCGATTGTATATTCTCCCGTCCGTTTTCATCTTCTTCTCCGTTTTTCTCTTCTCTTTCCCTTCTACTTGGCTCCATCCGACCTAATCCCTTTCCTCTGTTCCCCTTTCTTTACGTTTTCTTTAACGTCCGGGATCTGAGATTCCTCCCATTAACCCACTACTGTCCGAATTTACTTCTCGCATTTTTAAAGAAATTCGAGCTCGCGAGGGAGGAAAGAAAAGCATTTCCCGCGTACTCCCGAGTATCTCGCGATCGTCGCGAATTAATGTTTATCTACGTCAGACTTAATCGCACGAAAGCGCCATCGTACACGCGAATGATGGTAATTTCAATAATTCCGCACGCGCATATGGCGAGGAAACGCAGAAAAAGCGCGAACCGACAAAGTCAGTTTGGCTCGAGCAACGTAACATTTTCTTTTAAGAGAATAATCACGCGGCTCTCTAACGCGAAAAGAACACCGGTTAGGGATGACTTTCCCAGGCATGCACGTTGTTCCCGCGATAGCCCCTGCATTATTTTTTCACGGGAAATTTAAGCGCCAGCACATTTCGCCGCGCTTTTAAGCTTATACCAGCTTATATCTCGGAAACGCGAGTCCGCGCGAACGCCCTGCACACAGCGAAGTCGGTCTTGCGATTCTGTTTTTTCCCTTTTTTTTTTCCTCGCCTCTGGTCTCTCGTTCGCGGTTACTCGAAAGTAATGTAAACACACGGGCGACCATTTAATTAGACTTCCGGTGGTCAGGTAGCATCCAAACTCACCTTCGCTCGTAATTAGGTTCATCGTCGTCGTCGTCGTCGTCGTTGTCGTTGTTGTCGTTGTCGTTGTTCATGTTGTTTTCACTTTCCCTCTCTTGGAAGTCGTGGATAAATCTGGTCACGCGAGTCCATGCGTACAGCAAGAATGCCAGGATACCCATTATCCAGAACATCACGAGGCACAGCATGCGCTGCAACGAGATTTTAAAACGCCAAACTGAGACACCAAGCCGAAAATCACACAGATAAAATTGACGAACGATACGAGGGATAAACGTGACAATGAAATTCGAATCTGTTCAATTTCGAATTCATTCAATTGTCTACCATCTGTTGTGAATTTCGGTAGATTTGTCAGTCTTCAATAAACATGTTAGACCTCAGTAATTTGAACGATCAGGCCGATCAGAATTTAATTGTGCGATATCGACTACGGGTAATAATACTTTTTTATTGTATATCTGGTATCGCAAAATTTATTCTGGTTTAATCGAAATCCCGTCAAAAAAAAACAAAACATCTGAAAGGGTATATAAAATAGGACGTAATTCGGCGATTGCTTTAAAGTGTCAAAGCAGAGTTTTCGTTTAAATCGGCTTTCCGAGTTACATCATCGAATAGGTGCGACATTTCATTTTGTAAACGCGGTGCGTAACCGCAATTTCTGATTACGCGTAATAATGTTCGAAACGTTCGCGGTCGCCCCTGTCGATTCGCGACAAATTCGGACAAAGAGGTCGGAACAGAGATCACCTTCGTGAATCCTTCGAAATAACGTGATATGTGTCGCTGACACATCATATATCCATACGGTGCGTCAGAGAGACACAAAGGGGAGCAACGAAATCATATACAGTCACAAAGGGGAGAAGCCCGCGTCTTGCAACTCAAAGCGATCCCGCGATATTCGCGGTGACCAAGCTGGATACATATGTAGGGACCATTTCGGCAAATTTATATGCTAATTCGCCGTGCTCGTCGGGATTAACTTGCTGTTCTAGTTAACTATCGCGAATCCGAGAGCTCGGTCGAGCCCTCTTGCATGCTACCCCGCGGAGCGACAAAGTCGCGCCTCGCAAACGCGTGACATAAACATCGTCGTCGTGGTACCTCGTACGAAACTCTGCCCCGTCAATTGAACAAATCCGATCCCAGATGTCCCGTTGGCATTTGTCTCCTTCTTCATCCTTATTCTTACTCAGACTTTCAGACTTCAAACTTTCCATCCGAAGCGCAGTGAAATTCGCATACTGTTTAGCAATTAGGAGAATTGATTCGAAACGTTTCGAAAATTTCCTTGAAAAATTTTAGAAAAAAAATACTTAAAAAAAAAAACATACTAAAAATGTTGCAGGATTAACGGGCAAGTCCGTCTCATATAAGTCTTCAAATGTTCACATCTAAAGTAATACGAGTAACATTGATAAAGTTATTCGTAAAGTATTCGCTTTTAAAAAGAGTAAAATAAACAACGAGTGATTATTTCGCTCAATACAAAACGATTAATCATAATTTCTCGACAATTAATCGACATTTATCTACATCTCTCATCCATCAATTAACTTTTTAACGTTAGCAAAATCATCGCGTTCTACATGCCGGAACGTGAGTGATCTATTACGAGATAAATAAAGCGAAAGAAAGAATACTTTATTGCTTCAACGTGCTCATTAAATATTAACAATTCCGATAAGAAACATTTTTAGACACATCCAACGTTCTACATGTTACGGAGAAAATGTAACTCGAACTTGTCGTAAATAAACTTTCCTTTCTATCGCCTCGCGAGAAAAGTCTTTTTCTCTCGATTCTGTTTGAATTATGCAATAATTCATTTATATACGAAAAAAAAAGTTATTTCGTAAGGTCGAGATTCTTCTTAAACGCATCGAAGACGTCCACCATTTTGACGTACGTTTAATCATGAAACTCATCAGCGAATTCGCGATCGTCGCATCCTCGAAAACACGATTCCGCTGGATACATTTTTCTTAATATATTCTACAATGCTCGCAAACACATTCGTTATCTCGCGCGAGGCAGATTGTCCCTGGAAATAAATCACGAACGAACATGAATTCACTGCAAACGCGATACCGCAATCGCCATCTAGCTCTGCATTTTCAGACGACCCTCCGAGATTCCGTAACGGTCGCTGGTATCACATTGAGGAACGTCGATAATCGCTAATGATAACGTTTATAAAACATGTGATAAGACAATTTCATGCTGCATTCAATTTTTGAGAATCCAATTCTTTCGAAAATACGATATAAAAATAAATTTGTAATAAGAAAAAATTTATATAAAAAAAAATTGAGCTGATATATTCGTCCTCGATCGCCCGCGAGAAATTTGACAAATTTTTTTTAAAGTTAGTGTAATTTCAGAAAAACAAAAAATAAACACGTACATTAAAAAAAAAATAGATTAGCGTTGTTGAAATTCTAATTTCTCGAGAGATTCGACGACACAACGCCGTGACTGGAAAGTGGAGGGACAGCCGAAAAGGGACGAAAATGCATGAAAACACTCGACCCTCGGTCTCCTAACTTACACTGTCGATTTTATTAATCTACATCCAATAACAAAAATATATCATTGTGAGAAACGAAATTGAAGGCGGGATTGCTCATTCCCGCCGCGCCGGATTCGAACATACAATATCCACTGATGACTAAACTCCGGCATTACTTTCCCTACTAGCATTCGAAGCAGAGAGACGTTATCGTTGTCCCCCGCATACAGGAATACGAGGAAAGCTTGATTACACAACGACGCGATGTAACGTTACAGTCCGCCACGGACGATTTAATCGCGAATTACGCGCGAAAAAAAAAAAAACACGTGCCGGGTCGGATAATTTCTCGGCAACAGATCGCGTACAATTTCTAACAACATTATATAGACTTTTAATCACTAATCCTACTTTATCGGAAGTGAACGGACACGCAAAATCACCGACGGCGGACCCCCGACAGCGGGGGAAGGAGGGAGAAAACGTGGCGATTTAAATATCGTACGCGCGCATAACGGGGGAAAAGTTCGCAGACGTTTCTCGCATTTTTGCAATAGCTGAGATTCCCGTTACATACTGAAAACTTTTCTACATGTAATCAATATGAGATATTCGATCGCATCCCTCCTTCTTCCCCTCGAGCTCGCAAACCGATTGCTTCCGCGTCTGCCAGGAGCAAGCGATGTTTCGCTCGTGGTAGATCTTCGTGCAATCGCTATCGCATCTTCCGCTGGTATTAATAATTAATAATTTACGGCTTCGTGTAGCCTGCGTTCGTTTTCGAGGGGAGTCCCGTATTTTTTACACATGTGTAGCGTACTTCAATTGGACGTCGTCGGAAAACTTGAACACATACGGATCGTAATTATACTCTGCCTGCGTCGACAATGCAAAGCAAACGTGACACAGCGAGAGTTTTGCCATCGCATAATCAGCTATGGTAATAAAAATAGAAAAAAGGAGAAAGAAATCAGGTGGACAGATCTTGCCGCTCCCTGTTGATAGAATTAATTTCTTTAAATTCTTATGTGTAAAAAGGATGGTTAAAGATAACGCAAACGTTCGCAATTTGCTTCGCATTATGCAGTGAAAATACAGTTTGCTTGATCTACGTATTATTTTTATTGGCTAAAAAAACATTCACAATAATCTAAGAGCTATTAAAGACGTAAGAAACAAGCTGTGGCACAACAATGGTTTCAACGTTGATTTTACCTTTTTCATGGTGGTTGCGCTATCTAATAAATATAAGATTTTTAATCATATATCTTATTATATCCGCTTTATAGAGCCTTTATTATAACGTAGTTCGACGCGACAAAGTTACAAAAATATAAGGATTAATTACGTATAGAAATTTAGCGTAATACCAACAGATTACTTCCCCTAAAAAAACTTAAGTGTAACCCTGTTCCTCTCTAATACGCAAGACTCTTTGAGCGTTTCCAGTGCGTTTCCATGCGGTAAAATACTCATTTAACACGCTGATTAAAAATAAATATTTATTATAATACGCTGAAAAATAAAATAGACAATAATTGACATAATAATTATCCTAAAAAAATTGCATACCGTAAGAGCCGAAAGAAAAAAAAGAAGGGAAGATTATCGGAGATACTCAATCTCACTTGTGTAAATGAATTATATAACAATCTGTAAAGCGTATTGATGTTGTTAAAGGAAAAAGAATACTCGTCACTACGCAATATGGTATTCAATGCAGGTACGTTTTAGTACGATTGATTAATGCACACTTGCGGTAGAATCTTGGCGATTGAATTCTGCACGCAGAGACACATAACGCACGCGGTTGTCCCATAAATTCTACATAAATTTCTAAAAACTAGTTTAATGAAACCATCCTGAGAATGGGATTGAAGTATTAAGAATATCGTTCTAACATTCGCTATCCCGCCGATAATCCGAGTGAATCAATACAATGAATCAATAACTGATTTATAACTCTTCGCGTTATTAACAAAAATCACGCAATAAAATCTTGACTTTAGAATCAATATGTGCTATCATGTATGATAAACTCCCAACTTCAAAAATGTAATCGTCAAAGCCAAGATGAACTGCGTCAAACGCATATAGATGACGAACATCAACTCCTAATTTTATATCTCACCTTTCGCGTTTCATGTATTTAGAGCATACTAATACAATAAATAACATTACGCTTAATTCAAGACAGATAAAAAGTGGCAGTGATGACATCAAATACATATAACGATCGACGCAGTTAACTTAGCTTTCCTTCCACAACGGATATATTCTGGTACCAAACATATTAAACATTAAAATTGGTTCTCCGTCGTTCGCAAAATTATTATTGACTTAAGAATTCTCAATCGACTCGTCGATATACAATTTTGCTATCTTACAATTCAAAATCGCTTAAGCGTTTGTTTTTATTTCCCTCAGGGAGTTTATTAAAGAAAATAGCTCCAAAAATAGCCGCTCGAAACGCACAGCGTGCCGTAGAAAATTCTATTATACATTACCGGTAACAATATAAAGCGTTTTATTCTAACAATGTTCGATAAAATTAACAGCATAGAAATTCTATGGAAAATATAAACAATATTCTCGTAGTATAGCGAAAGTTCGAGCCGATAAAACGCTTTGTCGAGGCGGATTAAGAAACTGACTTTGTAGCGCAATGAACGATACATTACTCTATAATCACATAGCTTTTGAAAGGCAGTACCGACGGTTCTCTGCTGTAAAAGCTGGTCACTTCCTACCATGTATACAAATTAGGTTGTAAGGTGCGAGCAGGAACTGTGTAGAACAACGTGATTATTTGTCATAAATGTGTATACTGCGGAAAGATCATTTAGCGAAAGGTTTAAAAAATGACATCACACGGAATATTCAATGCTAGAGGTGAATATCATTATCTCTTTGGTGTGTATATTTTTTTACGTACCATCTCATCAGTTTTACACAAAAGAATTCTATGCCCTTCAAAGCGTAATTATCATGGTTCTATATCGAGAGAACGGTTGTCGGAACGTGTTGCTATTATTAGTAAATCGATAAAATGTAAAAACGATCGACGATGATTCCCAGCGTGGCTCTTTGTCGTGGGTCCAACTCCGTCGTGCATATTTCTAATTGTTTCCTTAAATCTCGAGCCTACAAATGCGTACTTCACACAAAGCGGTCTCTTTATTACATTTGTTATTCATCCCGCATATATGTTATCGGTAGTCTGTCTCTTTCGCGCAAATATTTTTTTTATTTTATATATTATATTCGTACTTACTTCTATTCGCACACTTACGCACACGCACACAATACGCTCGCATACATATCGTTACACATTCACTTTGCACACTTGCTCCTAGGAATATCTAATAATTATTCACGGGTAACGCTATACAATTGTATAATAATTTAAAGAAATGTATTATATATATATATATGTATAAAGATTCGCGGAGCCATATAGCAAGAGGTAGGACGACAGTTGTAGATCGTACCTTCGATATGAACTAGTGATAAATTGAACTAACAATGCACACTGATCACACAAGTAATAAATCGTTGTCCAGTTTTTCTATTTTACATGTGAATAGTGTTGTGAATCTTCGACAAGATTTATAATTGTCTTGTATAATTGCAATTAAAATATAATGTCTTGTAATTGCAACAATTAATAATAAATTTGTGCTTGTAAAAAAAAAATTTATTATTGATTGTTACGTGCATTTGTCTGCACTATTGTGTTAGAATTATATTTACGAACGACACGCATACTGATTTGAGTTTATCCTTTACTTTCAAGCGCGAAATTTTATTGCAATCACAAAACATGCCCACTCTCTCTATAGATATTTTATTATAAATACAAATAAAGCCCGATAAAATTGATTCAAACGGTAATTTGCATTGTTCAAGATATTGTTTAAATCCCATGTTATAGCATATTCTCTGCAGTTTTACATATCGATTAAGTACATATAATAATGTATCATCATGACAAATGTTTATTGGGATTACACAAAATAGAATAAATCTAATCTATTAGTATTAACTGAAAAGAAGCCTTAGTCAAAAAATAAGCTATAAAATCTACTTTTCAACTATTTTGATATACCTTATCACCATCATCTTAAAAAAGAAAGCAAAAAAGGATAATTTTTTTTAATCATTGACGGTAATCAACTAAAATTTCAGTTATTCATGGATTTGCTTATTCTATGATTCGATTTAACATGTAGACATATTCCAGATCATGCATTATGGAATAGTTTAATAGTAATAATTCTAGTATCAAGTATAGAAAAAAAATCAACAATATTACTATGAGGAAAAGGACATCGGAAAAATATCGATATTTAGACTATTCACTGATGAAATTTGGACCACTGAATTAATAGTTGCTAGAATAATCGGTTAGTAGAGCATTGGTCAAGTTACACAAAGATGATTCCGAAGTTATGATGTGTATCCAAGAAAATTTTTACTACTGTTGATATTATTTCCCGTCTTTCATTTTTTTTTTGTGCACGACTATGCACCGCGATAATTAGTGAAATTGTTGATCTCGTAAATGTTTATATAGAAGTATGCAATCGTCCTTAAAATAATTAAGACTATCTTCCTTTTATAGATAATATTTAAAATTATTATTTCTATATAATCTGAGAATAACATTTATTAAAACATTATTTTATTATTCTATTAAAATCAATGCGGTTTTCTCTTATTGTTGCGAATATTAAAGATTTTAATAACTATTATTCTCCATTTTATATAGAAATAAAAATAATTATAGATATTACCTACGAAAGGAAAAAAAAGGAAGCATTTTAATTATTTTAAATCCAATCAGATACGTTTTGCTTTTTTATATATATATAAATTATCATTTTAGGAAAGTGCGCATATCTTTTTTCTTCTACATAACTAGAACGTCTTCGAATTATAATTTAAATTATTTGCTAATTATTTAATAATTTTCTTAGTCGCTAAAGCCGCGCATGAGTGATAAAGGAAGTGGATATCGACATAGCAACAAAATAGTGATAACAATGGTATCAAGGCAGTTTTGTGTCGGTCGACTAGTTTTGCCCGTCTAATCGAACGACAGCTCATAATCGGACCAATCGGATTCGTCGGAATCTGAGAAGAAAGGAATATCTTCGAAATCGAGATACATCCAACGTTCGTCCCTTTCATCGAGGAAATCCCACAAGATCAGTTGCTGTAAATAGTGTAAAGCCGCTCTTTCACGTTCTGCGTATGCCAGGATGCAATATAACTTATGTAAACGGATGTAGCTCGACTGTTCGATATGATGAATTTTATATCGCTTGCTCCGGCGATATTTATAAATGAAACGCGATCAAAATAAATATGTCTTTGTAAATAAGCACTTACGTGCAAGATGTCGATATCGGTGTCAGCGGTGTTGCGCCTCTGTCGAACTGGTGGGCCCACATCCTTCTTAGTTCCGTCTGGAAGCGCATGGAGATAGAAACATTTATTACCGAATGGACACTTGCCACGACCCTTGTTGAAGTATTTGCAATCCTTGGTACTGTAAGAAAAATGATAAATTGTTGAGTTATACTGAAACAAAAATAGATTATCAATCATTTCGTACCTTAGGGCGCCTTTGTAATCTCTTATCAATTTTTCCTTCTCCTCTTTTGTGTCTACCCAGTACATACTGGGGCAGACGAAATCCGAGGGAATACGGCACTCTGGACATGCTCTTATGATTTTGTTGTCGAATTGTTTGGCCTGGCGCCATTTTCTGATGCAAGTTAAGCAGAAGCAATGATTGCAATTTGGTAATATACCGAATCTTTGTTCTCGTGAGGATTTCTCCAGTATTGTCTCGAAACAAACACCACAAGATTTCTCTTTGCTGCGTTGAATAGCAAAAGATAATTCCATATCTGCTTCGTGTTGCTTTACACATGCCTATATAAATAGCGAAATCATCTTTTAGATTCATAAAAGATTTAGTATGTATTCATATGAAATTACAAACTATATGTTCTTACAAACTATTGGAAACAGGCAAAATTTTAATTCTTAATTCTAGATCTTTTTGAAAAAAAAATAAAATAAAATAAATCTATTAAAAATTTTTCATTGAAATTTTATTACATAAGAGATATAAGTGGAAATAAATGCAGATATAAAGATAAAGATAGTTAGAAAATTGTATCTCAATAAATGCTAAAATATTAGGAAAAGAATTCATTATTATTCTTAAGGCTACTTAAGGCTATTCAGCTAAGAACTAATTAATGAACTAATTAATAGCGACACAACGTCGCGGTAAAAATTGTTAATTGTTTAATTATTTTCTTAATCGCTAAAACCGTGCATGTAAAAAAAGTGGATATTGACATAGAAACAAAATAGTGATAACAATGATATCAACGCAGTTTTGTGTCGGACTAGTTTTGCTCGTTTAATCGAACGACAGCTCATAATCGGATCAATCAAATTCGTCGAAATCTGAGAAGAAAGGAAGCTCATTCATCCTTCATCTTTGTCCTTGTTCTTTATATTAAATGACATGCTGACAATGAAATTTTTTTATCGCACCTAATTTCGTGTTAAGTGCTTAATCATGCAGATGTAACTTGTGTCATACTTACCAAATTCGTAAAAATGGACGACAGTTAAAGTTACCTTCGAATTTTGTATGTAAATTTGTGTATATGCATTTTGTATGTGTATATGCATTTTTTTCACTTCTTTAGACAGCTGTCAAACCGTGTGTTTTCTGCTTGAACAGAAAATTCACGTTTCACGTGCCCTTTACAGTTATCTATTTACTATCAGGAAAGGAAAGGATAGCAGCCGTTCATTTTCACAAGTGCCTTAAAGCCATGTGTCATTAGTCAAATATCTTTTTATTTGCAAATTAGGTGCAATAAACTGTGTCTGGACTTCTTGTCTATGATGCCACGATCCTAATATGGTCGCGGCAACTACCCTTGATGTTTTTGAAAAACAGTTGTTAATGTTTTATATAAATTACTATTGTATCTTAATTTCCAAAGAAAAAACTTTAAATTATAGAAATTGATAGAGATTTCATGATTATTTAATGTGTATGCCGTTAAGGTTCTCTCGCAGCGCGACATGGGTTATGTGACATCAGAGGTGAGAAATGACATGTAAAAAGTTTCTTGTATCGTATAGCTTTATACTTTTCCCTTAAAAATATAATATTTTTATATTCTTAAAACTTGTAAAAAAAAAATAAGATATCTGTCCAAGAAATCACGTAAAAGTATAAAATAATTCTTGAAATAATGGTTACTGCTCTGCTAACAGAAACAACTATATCTAGTGATCTGATTTCTGATTTCTGATAGCTAAACAGTATACCATTACTTCAAAAATTATTTTGCACTTTTACGTGATTTATTGGATCTTATTTTCAGATCTTATTTTCTGATATTTTTTACAAGTTTTAAGAATATGAAAATATTTTTAAGGGAAAATACAAAATAAAGCTATACGACGCAAAAAATTTTTTACGTGTCATTTCTCGTCTCTGATGTCAATATGGTTGCAACGAAAGAGCCGAGCCTTAATCTTTATTTAATAAAAATGTTAAAATAGCTTTGATAATAATAGATGTTAAAATATTTACAACTCAATATAATTAATAAAATAGCAACAAAATAAAAGCTTACATTTGTATGTTTCTTCCTCAATTCTTCATTGTGTGGATGAAGGGCCGCGCGGCTACATAATTCACAAATGTCACCATGTAGATATGTGCAGTTAGTATTTCTACAGATTCCAGTCGCTTCTGCATATGGACACAAAGGTTCTAAGGCGGGGTTCGAGGCTTGACCAGATGGATTGACAGCTTGAGCATATGAGACCGGCATTGATGTGCTCGGAGACGTTCCCGAAGCAGACGACATCTCGTCCGTAGAGGATGAGCCAGCGATCGGAGATCCAATTGTAGGTATAAATTCAGGTGCTTTCACCCATTCTTCAGCGATGCGTTTATCAATTTTTCTATAAATGTACAGAACGATATAATTCAGTTGAATGAATGACTAAATCAATATATCATTGTATTATAATCCTTTGTAACATTTTCATATTTCAACTTACTTATTTCTTGAAGAATGTGCTGTGTGTTGATTCGAGACAAAATTTTCCATTGTGTTAGTTTGTATAGCATTGTTATCTCCAGTACCTGAATTGTGGCGGAAACGGCACTGATTACCAAACTTACACATGCCCTGTTTGAAGAAACGACAAGTGACGATGTGTGCATTGGATATATGGACCGATGTTGCCTCGTTGATACTTGTATCATTTCTGTTTCCTTGTACATGTCGATACCGGCAATTATTCCCTTCACGACACGTGCCATTCTTAAAGTACCTAAAAACGAGACTGTGATTATTTGTTACAGCCAAGAGCACACAGGAGCAGAGTTATGGATAGAAGCCCGCTTTGCGAAAAACGCCCGTCGCGTTTGAAATTGTCGCGAGAATTATAACGACACACGGAGATGGATAATGCCGAATGTCAATATTTATATTATTGTGTTTGAGTGTTCGATTGAACGTTGTCGTTCCGCCAATGTGTGCCTAACACGGCTAACCTCTCCATCTCGATCTACGGTAAATCTTGATCGGTCGGCGATTCGCAATTTTCACGGAGCGTTTCGCTGTGAAACATATGACGTGCGAAACACTCGTCACAGTTCCTTACCGGCAAACAATACTCTGCGTCCAACTGTCGGCCATTTTCTTGCTTCTCCTCCGCCGTAACGATAATCGACGACGCGTCGTACTTTGGATGATGAATCGAGCGCTCGTTCACCGCTCGGTGAAGGAAACAGAAAAAGAGAGAAATAAGGCAGGAGAGAAAGAAAGAGAGAGAGAGAGAAATACGTGCTTTCGGGCAAATGGGCCCGGCTCCAGCGACCGCAAGTGCCGCTTCAATCAGCACGTACCGGAGAGCAGCAACAATACACCCCCTGTGCGGGACGAGAGGCACGCTCGACTCGCGCCGCGCAATAAACGCACCTCGGAGGATGCGATGTATATGTCCACAGACACGAGTATGCGCGCGCGTGCACGTCCTTCCTCGCCCTCTCCAACTCGCTCCGTTCGTAACACGCGTGTCACCGCGTGGCGTAAGCGTCACGCACCACCTTGCGTTTCGTCTCGCAATCGCTTGTTACTCCTCTCTTTTTTCTTCTTCCGTTGTTTTCTTCTCTATCACGTATCCGTCCAATTCTATCGCAGATACGCTCACACCTCTGCGATTAGCATCCACTCCACAGCAGAGAATCTTCTCAGGGAACGCTGCGTTCTTGATTGTTGATTTTTCTTTTTTTTTTTTTTTATTTTCCACGTAGTACGAACGACAGTGATGCAATCCTCAACGAATGAGATGTGAGACTCGCGAGTTCTCGAACACTTCTGTAACACAATTATTTGTTAACTTCGTCGAGACGACCCACGGCGCTGGCACTGTTGCTCTCGAACGGATCTGCCAAGCGTTTCGTCCCGACGCGTGATTCTTATCCACCTGATTGGCTCGCGACCCGCTGGTTTCGCTCAGACATGAGTTCTCATCACACCTCGTAAAGCTCCTAAAACAAATCACCTGACACGCGAGACGCACGATTATCTATCACGGTATTCACGTACGAACGCCTCTCGGTACTCACGCGCGGTCATTGAACTCGACCGAGCCGCCCTGTTTTGCTTATCGGCACGCGTTCATGCTCCAACGTATGAACCCCTGGGCATAAATCGAAAAGCGCCCTGCGCCTGTTGTGGCTGTGATTGTTCGTTATTACAGCTCAGATTACCGTTACGCGTATGAAACGAGAAAATACGGCGGTTTCGGATTCTCGAAAACGCCATGAAATTACATGCGAGCGATCGTCCAATGGCAACGTCAGATTCTGCCCCCACGGTAAGTTCTCTCCTCGTGATTCGTCCGCTTGAATTATTCAATGTGATAAACAAGTATTCCGGAAAACGCTAAACTTGGTTGTCTTGAAAAATCTGGAATAATCGTGTTGCTTCAATGAAGCACGTGTATTCTAAATATTTTATATTTTTTAAATATTCTTTCTCATCTCTGGACGATAAGGGGAATATTTTCCGAAAGAATAGAATGCGGAGAAGCATATTTGACTTTCTTTTTAATTATTGATTTATTTCCACAGAGTCTTGTTTATTCCCGTTATTGCATTCCTTCTTTTTTTTCTTCAATTTTAGATCCCCTATCGATTTTGTAATAAATACAGAAATACAAAAGACGCGGGGAAAAAAGGGATCTAATTCGGAATCATCCGTCCGCATTCGGGCTCATTCGCACTGTGAAGTTGACTGATATAAAGCTACCAATTGTCGGCATGGAGCAAGGGTCACGCCGCCATTTCTCACGCGCGATTGGCTAGTCTCTTCGCGGAACACTTTTATGCGCGAGCCCGTTCTGGCGACTATATTTTTTTTTCCCCGCTTATCATTTTTCGCGATCGTGAAATCTGACAAAACGCGAAACTCGGTGCAAACAACGTTCGCTCGCTTCCAACTCCCTTAGATTTCCGATATCGTCTTCGAGGAAACGCGGCGCAAATCGATTCACGATAATCGCCGCATTTCCCGGTTTCGAACGGATCGCGCCGATCACGCGTCGCGCAGCCAACTTCACCGCGAAATTAACAACGTCGCGTCCGTCATCCCGGCGAAGTGGCGTACGTTCGTCCGCGAATGGACGCGCGTTATCGCACGATACGTCACATATCTATAGCATTGCACATATTTGCTCCGTTGAAGTCTGAACCCGGTTTCGAATCGACTGTTTCGACGGCCGATTGGCAGGTAGGGAAAAACAGCGACGGGGGGGGCTTTCTCATAACCTAAATGTCATCCGCGTACAAGCAGTTGCTCCTGTACCATATGATCCAAAAGAGGAATTAAAGGCAACTTAAATTCCTTTTTAAAAAAACACATGGAAAAAAGGAAAGAAACTATGTTGATCGATTCGCTCACATACACATGATTTACTTCATTGTTACGTCGTTATTTCTCTGCGACTCGGTCTGACTCGGTTTTGCTGGTTTTCGTCGTAAAAACGGAAGATTCTCAAAGAATCTGTGCACTGCTTATGCTCCAATTTTGTGTTGGTGTTCTTTTAATAAAAAGTATAAGAAATAATGAAGAATAGATATCTATCTTGTGCTAGTGGGCTTGTCAGATTTTTATTATGAATAATATGAAAGAATGCTTTATATAAACATAATTGCGAGTATTTTATTATTTTATTGCATTTTTAGATATCCGGGAGACAAATCAAAAGCAATAATGGATTTCCAGAAGAATGTAGTATCCTCGGATAGCGCTGATGTTGTATCTCAACCAGAAATCATGAGCAACTTGGAAAGTAAGAATGATAATGAAAGTCATATCATCGAAGATGTTTCAGAGAAAGATACAGATAATATTGAAAATCATATTGAAGAAGTTGTAGAAGCAGATAAGAATAATATTGAAAGCTGTATTGAAGAAATTTCAGAAAAAAATAAAGAATCTCAACTACAGTCAACTGCAGATAAACATATTATAGAAGTGCACAATGAAGAAAATAAGGAAGAAACTGAAGTGGCAGTAACCTGTGAAAAAGATTCTATTTTATCAAATACAGAAACTAGTGATCTTGTGACAGGTTTGGAAACTAGTGATCTTGTGACAGGTTTGGAAACTAGTGATCTTGTGACAGAGTCAGAAACTACTGAAGCAGGCGATAACATGGAAGTTGAAGCATTATTGCCCAAAAATAATAGTGAAACTATATCAATTAAAGAAAATTCTTGTAAAAAGGACATGGCTCATGTAGATACAGAAATGACGATATTAAGTATAGACAATGTAACCAAAGAACATGATACAGAAGAATCATCGATTCTTGAAGAGCCATCGATTCTCGAAAATTCGTACAAAATTCCATGTAATACTGAGAATGACTCTGTGAAATCAACCAATGATAATGTCACAAACGAATCCGAAACTAAAAAAATTAATGAGTCCTTATCTAAAGAAAAAACTAAAGATTGTGATATTCCAGATGAATCAAGCAGTAATGCAGATGATGTGCAAATATCCCAGAAGGAAGATGTAACATCGAAAAAAATAGAATCGGAATCTTCGGACAGTAATTTAGAAAATCCTGACAAGGATCCGTCTGAGAAGAATATTGAACCTGAAAACACAGAATTCATACAATTCTCCCATGATAAACACGATGATTCTCAAATCGAAGGTCAATCCATAGATGCGGAAGATCCATTCGGCGGTGATAATCTTACTTCTGAGAATATAGAACAAGCAGAGCAAGAAACCGATCTTGCTGAGAATGCACTCAGCTTTAAAAAATTATATGAGCAGGGCAATAATATGCAGGATGCGATGCAGGTAGATACTAGAGATAGCGATTGTAACGAGAAACTTAATGAGAGTTCATTAAACAATTCAAAGGATACCAACGTTACTAAAATTGTGGACAATATTACCGAAGCATCAAGTAATGTACAAACTATCATTGGATCTCTCGACAACGCATTAATAGATACTAATGTTCCCAGTACTTCATCCAAAACAAATACGGAGAGTACGTTAACAAAATCGGCTGATGAACAAAATGATCAAGCCAAGAAAAGTCTCATAGAAATTACATCAATGGAAACAGATGAAGAGCAAACTGATGTATTACCCGGACAAGATGATGAGTTATGTATTATTCCAGATAGTATGAAAGTAATAATACCAAATAAATCAAGTAAACCGATAGACAATGAGCAAAGCGAATCTGTATCTACCGACTCCAAACACGAAGAAACAACGCAGAAAGACAGCAAACTTAATTCCGAACTCGATAAAAATATTCTACAAGATGTATCCAAGTCAGCGATTACAACTGAAAATACAGTAGAAAATATATCGATCATTAAAGATGATGATAAGCCAGCGACAGAAAATTCAGTTCCAGCCACGGATGTTATTAATATCGACGATGAGTCAAAAAATTCAGAAGTTGAAGAAATTCATAATAAAGAGGTATGTAAGCAGTGTGGCGAAGAAAGAGTATGCAAAATTCGAGTGAAGCTTGGTACAGAAAGTCATCTTGTATGCTCGAAAACATGTAGAGCATTATTTAAAGCAGCTAATAATAAAGCAGTCGATATACCTAACAAGGGAGTCAATTCTAAACAAGAGAAACGTTGTGCAACTTGTTTATTAATCATAGAAGTGAATGATGAACGAAATCTTTCATGGGAAACAATGGAGTTCTGCAACGAAGAATGTTTGGGGAAATTCCAAAGAAAATATGGAAGTTTCTGTAAGAATTGTAATGGTGCAGTTCAAGCTGTGAGTTTAGGCAAATATTGCGTAAGATTTGGATGTGACGTGAGACAATTTTGTTGTTCGACGTGTTTAGAAGAATTCAAAAAGGGTTTGAAAGTGTGCAGTTACTGCCAAAAAGATATAAGTTTCAGCACAGAAGGTTTTCTTGCACCAGTCGGGGAGAAAGGACAGTTTAAGGACTTTTGCACTCAGGACTGTATGGAAAAATATTCGAAATTGAATTCTACAGAACCTCCTGCTGCGGAAAAAAAGCCATGTAGTGTCTGTAAGGAGGTAAGATAACTTTTGTAATTTTCAATTTTCCTAAACATATTTTGAATAATTTTAAATATAAGCAATTTTTGTTTCTTATAGGAAAAAGTTGTACATTGTGAAGTTCAGATATACAATAGCGTTCCAATAGCTATATGCAGCGAACCCTGTTTTGCTGCATTTAAATTTGTAAAACAAGTCAAACCTGAGCAATGTTCTACTTGCAAGAAATTTTTTGAATTACCAAATAAACAACATTTTATTGTTTTTTATGAAAATAAGCCTCATACATTTTGTAACAAAACATGTTTAAATATATTTATTATAACAAATAGGAAAATAGTTCCATGTAACTGGTGTAAAGTAAAAAAATATAACTTTGATATGATCAAGAAGGAATTGAAAACGGGACAAATTTTGATGATGTGCAGTTTAAATTGTTTGACATTATATCAGGTAAAACATTTTGTTATTTATATAAATATAAATAACATGGTATATATAAGACATATAAACAATATGGAAGATATAAGTTTTATTTTTTTGTAGGTTTCCATTAATGCAGTATCTGCAAAACGTATTAACTGTGATTTATGTAAGGAGTATTCCTTAGCGCATTATCACCTCACAATGTCAGACGCGACAATACGTAATTTTTGTTCATACAACTGTGTCATGAATTTTCAAGCACAATATACCAAATCCCCAATAACAATACCATCGAGCGACGATCCCGTGCCTACAGGCTTGCCCAAGAGAACATTACCACAGAGAAGTACGAGTCAGGCTGTTCCCAATGAGATGCAAAATAAGAAGATTATGCCTGTTATCTCATCGGTAACGAGTCTAGCTACGATAGGGAATGGACAAGCGAGTCCAACATCTCAGCAAAACAATATGGTAATGCCTACAAGCTCGGGTAAAACAACGCAATTGATCTGCAAACAGGTCATTACTAGGCCGCCTAGTCCAGTACAGATGCACAATAAGATGACTCAGTGTAAACCTGTGGTACATACGAAAGGAGTTTCTGTACGTCCTCATCCTTGTACAAAATCAACGCAAACAACGGAAAACATTGAACAAGTCATCGTACCTATACCGGTACCAATTTACGTACCGTTTCCGATGCATATGTACAGCATGCCTTTTCCGGTTCCGATGCCTTTTCCACTGCCAATTCCCGTTCCTCTGTTTATACCTACTACAAGAAATAGTGCTAAAGGAATTATGAGAGATATAAAAAAAATACAAGAGAAGATACCAGCCGATCCGTACGAAGCTGAACTTCTTATGATGGCAGAAATGGTAGCTACTGAGAAAAAGGCCAATGATAGTGATTCCGATTCTGTGGACGACAGGTAAACGAATTAATATTTTATATAGATCGTTTGGGTGCAGAAATATTTACGATATTTAATTGATATAACACTTTATTTACACAGAATTAATTTGAAATATAAGCAGACATGTCAATATTAAGCTCCGATTCAATGAACAAAACAAAAATTTACTTATTATTTGCCTTAAAGAAAAATTTATCTTTTATCTTAAAAATTTAAAATCTTCTCAAAAGTTTTGTTTATATTTATCTCACGCACCAAAAGCATATATTTTTGTTTAGGGAAGATGACACAGCTGATCAAGACAATTCAAATAGTGATGGTTTCAGTCCGGAAGCGGTTGATTCCAGTAATACATTCGGAGATGACATGTTGCAAATGGCGTTAAAAATGGCCACGGGAGAATTGGATGAGCCAGCAGTCGATTTGGAAGCTGCCTTGACGCCAAACACGATTACAGCTACGCAGGCACCGCCACAACCAGAAAATGTTTTGGACAACGACGGTATGTGGCATAACATTAAAAACATAATATGATACATATACATAGTTACATTTATTATCATCCACTATTAAAATTAAAATTATTCCTAAAAATTTATACATTTTTCAGTGCAATCGGAACGATTAATGGTCGCCTCTAGAGGAAGAAAACGTGTACTGCCATACAAACCACGATCAACACCGACCAAACGAATGAGACGCGTCTCTGGTGCAAATGACATGCCATTGATGCCACCACCGGAACCACAGCCACCCCCGCAACCACGTATCATGGAACCGGTTGAAAAACCTGATGCCAATATGGCGTTAAAATATACATTTGGCGTAAATGCATGGAGACAATGGGTTTGTATCTGTTTTTTTTATATATATAAATAGACAATATAGCAGAACAAAGATATTTATGGATAATTTTGATAACACAGGTAATTGGAAAAAACGCTGAATTAGAAAAACAAATTACACCGACGAGGAAAATAAAATTGTTCAAAACAGATCTCTTACAACTCACTGCAGATGAGTTAAATTATTCTCTATGCCTATTTGTGAAGGAAGTAAGGAAACCGAATGGTGCAGAATATGCTCCTGATACGATATATTATCTTTGCTTAGGTAAATCACTTTTATGTGATACAAAAATCAGTGACAAAACTAGATTTGTTGAAACCTTTAATTTAGTTTTAACAAACTGTTTTCACGAACTTTTTTTAGGAATACAACAATATCTATTTGAGAATAGTAGGATCGATAATATATTTACGGATACATATTACGAAAAATTTACAGACTGCTTAAACGAAGTAGCAAAAAAATTCTCGGTATTGTATAACGACGCACGTAAGTTCTATTATTCGTGCTGCAAGTGCGAATTTAATTTTCAGCATATTTTTTTTTTTTAAACATCTTATCGTCTATTCCACAGAATATATCGTGACTAGAGTGGAGGAAGAGCATTTATGGGAATGCAAACAATTGGGTGCCCATTCTCCACATGTTCTGTTAAGCACACTTATGTTCTTCAATACGAAACATTTTAATCTTGTAGTAAGTTTACCGAGATTAATTAATCACGTAACTTGTTATTATAATATACATATGATATATTGATGGATTCTCCAAAACAGTTTACCAACCATCTCATACTTTTTTCACTTTCAATCTTTAACTCTCTAAATTCATGTTATAAAATCGCAGCATAAAACGATAAATACAATATAATATATTCAAATGCCTGTCGATATCTCTTTCAGACAGTAGAAGAACATATGCAACTCTCCTTTTCCCATATTATGAAACATTGGAAGCGCAATCCAGCAGCACAACCTACAGCGGTAGCGGGGAAAATTCCTGGCTCAAGAAACGTCCTTCTGAGATTTTATCCACCTCAATCAGCTCTTGGTTAGTTATAATTTATATGTTATATTTCATAACAATTTTAATGCTAATGCTGATTTTCGGCGCGGATTAATCTATTCATTATTGTCCTTTTTTAAAGAAGCTAATTCAAGAAAGAAGAAAGTATATGAACAACAAGAAAATGAAGAGAATCCATTAAGATGTCCTGTTAAGTTATACGAATTTTATCTATCGAAATGGTATGTGCGTAATCAAATGATGTAATTAAACAAAACATTAATTTTTTTATTTATTACATTGATTTCAATTGTATATATTACATATATTACATATCAAAATGTTTCAGTCCTGAAAGCGTTAAAACGCGAAATGATGTCTTCTACTTATTACCAGAACGCAGTTGCGTACCAGATAGTCCAGTATGGTATTCGACATCATCTCTTGCAAAGGAACAACTCATTAAAATGTTATATCGTATTAAAATGGTTAAAGAAATTAATGTAGCTTTATTAACGAGCTAATTCAATTTATTACAATGATCTCTTATATTGTTAAGTCAATAAGTAAAAGTAAGTAGAACTGGTGTCTATTTTAATACTTTGACTGCTGGAAATTTGAATTTAATTCCAGACTCTGCAATGTACGTTCTAACAATGCTATGTTTTCTTGAAGTACTAAGTCATTTCTTATCAATGTTTTCAATTAAAAGCAGTGCTGCCAGAAACCGACATAATTTGTTTCGACAATCGAGATGCCGAACGCACAGAGACATGTCGTATTACATGTGATGATGAGATCCCGCACCAGGTAATGGAGGATCCTGCACCCAGTTTCTGGCAGCACTGATTAAAAATAAAGTTTAATTTGTATTACATATACAAATTAATTTGAACATTTTTGACATATATGCGTTTATATATAATCCAATGTTTGTTATAATTATTGAAATATGAATATGAATAATACAAAATAAGAATGTATACAAGATGTTAAAATAATAGAAGAATAATTATTACAAAAATGGGATGATACAGAAATATAGGATTAAACGAGTTTTCCAGTTTCTATTGTATATTTTTCACTTCTTAATAAAAAAAAAAACTTATTGAATTATTGAAATCTTCTCAAGTTATAAAATTAAAACATTATTTAAATATGTTTATTAGATATAAGTAATGAATATAACGCAAGAAATCAATTCTTTTTTTCTTTTTTGTTTAATTCTATACATCTTTGTACAAAAATTGTTAATGATTATAAAATACTGAATCTTGTAAAAATAATTATGATTGTATGATATTAAGGGAGCGAATATCATATCAGAGATGCAAAATTGTAACAAAAAAAAAATAATTATATTTATTCATTTCGTTCTGTTTCTTTACATGAATTAAGAATTATTTAATTATAAGTTCATCCACTTTTCTGTGGACGTACAAAAATACGTTTATGTTTTTGTCTACGTCGAACAATTTCCATTTCGTGTAATTTTGTATATACTTCGCTAAATATTTTATTTTGATCTTCCTCAGGGATGGTCTCTCTATAAATAAAATAAGTTAATAAATATAATAAGTTTTATAAGATTTTCAAAATATAGAAGTTGCAAAAAAGTATTTTTAATTTTTTTACCGATATGTTTTCATCAGATCATATTTTTCCCAAGGTTTTGCCGCAGCCTTGGCTTTTCTAATGCGTCTCTCATTAAGTTCCATAGTAAAGTCTGCTAAACCCTTCAACTCTTGACGTTCCCATTTCTCTAACCATGGACGAGGATTAAGTTTTACTTTGATCTCATTTATAGGTACTGGTGCACCTTCAGGCAAATATTCTGGCTTCATATCAAAAGGGAAGGTACTATATTCTGCTGGTGCATCTCGCAGATATCGTAAATGTAGATCTAATCTTTTTTCAAGCCTAAATATTTGGTATATATAGCATTGATACAAATATAAGATTTCAAAATAATTCATGTGAGGTAATAGCCATTATTTACCTGAGACATTCTATTTTTTGTATTGCAGGATCATATAATTCATAAAGCACTTCAATCCCCTGATTGTCAACTACATTTCTCAACAGACACGTAGACCTCAATCCACATCCTCCTCTCTCAATGCATATACCAACAAATTTGTTAACTTTTCCAGGAGCATGTGGCTCAGAATATGTCACAGCTAATATGGAACCAACATAAAACTCAGGTATTGCTATGTTAGCACGTCTTGCCAGCATATCCATGCGTTCCAACTTTTCTCGGAGCGAGTTGCGATATAAGGGATTTGGATCAGGTAGAAATTCCGGATAGACGAAACGGTATTTATCTAGAACTGTTTTCTTTTGCTCAACATTTTGTTCTGTAATTTTGTCATTTTGCAATTTTTGTATCGAATTTTGAGCAGCTGTAGAAGAATTTGCTCTGACTGTACGGCCTGAAAAAGCAAATTTATTAGATTTATTTTAACATTCCAAAATTAAAAATTTCATATAACAAAATTATAATATATTTAATATAATTGTATATATATATAAACAATTAGAGGATAAACATAATGTTAATCTAACATAACCTACGTATTTTTGCTGCTCGTAATCCATGATAACCAGTACGACAGAAAATTCTTGAAATGACAACCATTGCTTTAAATTTTTGTTATTATTTCACTTGTTATATTCATTTAAACATTAAGTACACATGAATCTTGACTTTTATTTTAACTATTCTCCGCAAAGTACAAAATTTCTTAGTTTGCGGTGGCACATTCAGGAAATTCGAAACTCTGTCGATATTGCAGAACCGCTACTCACGGTGCTCGTGAAAACATGAAATTAACCAAAAAACATGTTTTGGCAAAAGGTAAATTGAGAGAAAATAACCGCAAATTCAAATATTTAAATTCAGAAACAAGCCTAAATTCAAGCTATTAGGCAAGCATAATTTATAATAAATCAGGAAGAGTTATGAATCGTTAGTTGTGTTGAAATTAACGCAAATCGAAGTAGTGACTGGGACGACATCTCTCAGCCGCGGCATGGTTACAAAAAAATGAATGTTTGGTTATGTTTTCCGAGCGCCTAGAAAAGAATTTAAATCGAAGGTGAGTACGAGGGAGGATTTCTTTATTTGCCGCATCTCCGCGATTACGTGCCACAGCGTAATTAAAAATATTGTACGTAATACCTAATTAACAGATAATTGCTGCTTATATAGCTTAGTGTAACTGCGGCGTGCGACAGACGAGCGGAGATCCGCGGAGCACCACGGAAATCGAAATTTGAGGTTATACGAGGATAGAATGAAGAGATCGCACTCGCGAAGAGACGAGGAGGAGAGCGAGGAACGTCATCGCAAGCACAGGGATCACAAACGCGGCGACGATCACAAGGAATCCAGGCACAATGGCGATCGCAAGAGTTCCAAGTATCGCGATGATCACAGGAGTTCCGGACGCGACGACGAGCACAGGAGCTCCAGATGGGACGACGAGCATCGCGGTTCCAGGCGCGACGATCACAGGAATCACAGGTATAACGACGATCGCGGGGATTCCAGGGATAGCAATGGCGAATCGAGAGAGAAACGGACCTCGCCACGGGAAGAGATCGGCAGCAGGTACTATGGTGAACCGGACAAACCGCGAGAGAATCCGGAAGACACCAAGCAAAAGCGAACAGTGGATCTTCTGACCTCGAGGACGGGAGGCGCGTATATACCACCCGCCAAACTGCGTATGCTCCAGGCGGAGATTACAGACAAATCGGGAGCTGCTTATCAGCGCATTGCGTGGGAAGCATTGAAAAAGTCCATCCATGGGTATATCAATAAGGTCAACACTAGCAATATTGGGATTATAACGCGGGAGCTACTGCGTGAGAATATCGTCCGCGGTAGAGGTTTATTGGCGCGGTCCATCATTCAGGCGCAAGCTGCATCTCCGACATTTACTCCAGTTTACGCAGCACTGACAGCCATAATCAATTCCAAATTCCCTAACATAGGTGAGCTAGTATTGAAGCGACTGGTATTGCAATTCAAACGTGGATTTAAAAGGAACGACAAACCTTTGTGTATCTCTTCGGGAACTTTTATAGCACACTTGGTTAATCAGCGTGTAGCCTATGAGATTATTGCGTTAGAAATCTTGACTTTGTTACTGGAAACACCGACGGACGATTCTGTCGAGGTGGCCATAGCGTTCTTGAAAGAATGTGGCATGAAACTAACAGAGGTTTCGCGGAGAGGTATTGAAGCTATCTTCGAAATGTTGAGGAATATCCTACATGAGGGACAGTTGGACAAGCGAGTTCAGTACATGATCGAAGTTATGTTCCAAATCAGAAAGGATGGATTTAAGGATCACGAGGCTGTACCGGAAGAATTGGATCTCGTGGAGGAGGAGAATCAGATCACTCATCTGATAAGATTAGATGACGAGATGGACGCGCAAGATATATTAAATGTGTTCAAATTCGACGCGGACTATCTCGCTTCTGAGGAGAAATACAAGCAATTGTGTAAGGAAATTCTTGGTTCGGACGTCAGTGACTCGGAGGGCGATGACGATGGAGAGGAGGAAAGCTCGGACGAGGATAGCGGCGCTGAACCAGCCGAGGGAAAGGAAGGAGTGATACTCGACAATACGGAAACAAATCTAACCGCCCTTCGACGAACCATATATTTAACAATACACTCTTCGCTCGACTTTGAAGAGTGCGCGCACAAGCTGATGAAGATGCAGCTAAAACCCGGACAGGAAATCGAGCTGTGCCACATGTTCCTGGACTGTTGCGCAGAGATGCGAACGTATGAGAAGTTCTTCGGCCTTTTAGCCGGTCGATTTTGCGCCATTAATAAGATGTATGTGACACCATTCGAGCAGATCTTCAAGGACTCCTATCACACGATACATCGTCTTGATACCAACAAACTGCGGAATGTATCCAAGTTTTTCGCACATTTACTATTCACGGATTCTATATCGTGGAGCGTGTTGTCGTGTATCAAGCTAAACGAGGAGGACACTACTAGTTCCAACAGAATTTTCATCAAGATTTTGTTTCAGGAACTTTCTGAGTATATGGGTTTGGCGAAGCTAAATGAACGGGTTAAAGATGTGACGTTGCAGGAGGTGTTTGAAGGATTGTTTCCTAGGGACGATCCGAAGAACACGCGTTTTGCCATCAACTTCTTCACATCTATCGGTCTAGGTGGTTTAACGGACGACTTGAGAGAACATTTAAAATCCCATCCGAAGCCAATTGCTGCACCAGTGATAAATACCAAGGAAGATGAACCCTCGAGCTCCGACGAGTCTACCTCGTCATCCAGCTCGGATTCGTCTAGTTCAACGTCGACCGAGTCTTCATCTTCATCGTCGGAAGATGAAATCCCTGCGAAAAAGAGTAAACGAAAAGAAAAAAAATCTAGGTTGAAAGACAAGGAAAAGAAATCTAAGAAGATGCAAAGCAAGAAGAAGAAAGGCAAAACGTCAAATAAAAAAATGTGAAATTTATAAATTATATAATAAGTCTTTTTTTTATAACTTACGCGATAGATACTTATTCTGTACAGATTACATTCTACGACTTGCATTTTACAAACTCTTTAGGAAGTATAAGCGAGAATAATAAATGAATACAATATTTATTCTATTTTGAACTCTATTATTCGCTACGAGATTATCAGATCCATTCACTCTTTTTTTAGCATGTATGAAAAACCTATTTTTGTCGTCTTATCATTTAATTACATTCTGTGATATTTTAACATTTTCAGAAGATGACGAAACGCCAAGACGTCAAATAATTTTCAAAGAGTTAATTTAGTCAACGATCTTTTCCATTTTCACAACGCATTAAGGATACCAGTCGGCGGTATCCCAGAAGATGAGTAGCGCGTCATCGTCATTGTCGACACCGATGAGCCTCGTGCCGTCCCTGACAATGAACACAAGATGGCAACGATACCAAGAGCGCGCACGTCGCGGCCGCGCCTCCACGTCGCGTCGTTCGCGGATGCGTGTGCAGGCATGCCGCCCCGTACCAATGTGTGCGTAATGCGCGGGGAGGTACGCAGGCTATTTTGACGGGAAGGTCACATGACTAGACGGCTGTCGGCGTCCGATTCACACAGATGCGTGCCGCCGATCGCGCGTCGTAACCGAGCTATGCGCGCGACGCGGCCTACGTCGGACGTGCGTGCGCATGTGTACGTCACGTATGCATGATGCGTGTATGAATGTGAATTTGTATGTATGTACATTCGCACACACCTGCTCTCCTCGAACGTCGCAGCAAGGGACCGCAGGGATGTGGCTAGGTCGTTGGAGCGAGCGAAGGCAAAGAGAAATTCGAGTTAACAAAATTAAAACCATTATTGTCTTATGATTGTCTTCTTTCCTCTACTATGTGTTTTAGATGTACGTGCAGCTTCAATGAGACTTCTCAGATGCTTACGTCTTGGAAGTATGTAAAGTTTCCTGTTTTTTATTATCCTTGTCCTGGACCTGAGACCGAGTCCAGGGACAATAGCTCGCGAGAAAAGTGGAGCAACATCGAGACATCCCGAGTGCTCCGAGGCAAGCTTCTTTCTTCTGTATAAATGTCAGGTCCACGTTTATGCGTATCTCATAGCTATAAAAAAAAAAACATAAGGCGTTAAAGAAGAACGAAGGCATTAGTAAGATCACAAAGAAGAGATCCGGTAATTTATGATAACAGAATACATAATATGAGTATTTTACGCGAATTCTATTCGTCAATGTAGTAATGTCGGTCTGTTGTTTTCTTACTCCGGCACTGTTCGCGACAGGCGCGGTGGTGCGCAGTAGGTGGCCGATTGTATGCGAGAAGAGGGAAGAAAAGGAGGAGTGGTCGACGTCGTCGTCGTCGTCGTCGTCGTCGTCGTCATCGTCGTCGTCGCCGCCGCCGCGGTCGCGGCCGCGATGCTCGTAGAGGGGAACGAGACAGGCATGCGGAGTTTACGGTGATTCTTTACCACCGAGCGGACGCGTGCGCGCGCCCGAACAGAGCTCGCGGCACGCACACCAAGGCATGCGTGCAGAAACGCGCGCGTGCACGTACCGGGTGTTGAAAAATTAGACATAGGATTTTAGAAAAAGAGAGAGAGAGATCGCATCGAGGATTTAAAAACGAGGAGAGGTGATGTGAATGATTAAATCCTAATTCTTTCTTGATTTTAAAAGAACAGCATTGCTTAAGAGGCGCTTAGACATTTAGCGTTGATTAGATGTGAAGATATAAGGACAAATGAAACCATCATATTGTAAGAAGATATTGGATTGAATAAGAAAATCTGGCGGATACTTTTTCGCCACTTAGTATATAGAGTCGGTTGAGACCCACACCGAGGAATGGTGGAACGTGCACGTGTGCGTACGCATACTACGTGCGCTCGAACACGTTTCGCTACACAAGCAGAAAAAAGAGAGAGAGTGTGTGCTCGTATATGTTTGTTCTGCATGAGAGGAGACAGTCTCGCTCTCTCAAGGGCTCCGCCGTCGCCGACTCTCGTCTCGTCTGTTTACGCTGTCGCGCGCGCATGGTACAGGCGCGGACACCAGAGAGAGAGAAGGAGAATGGCCCCTCCGCTCCCGCGTGAGAGCAAAAAGCTTTGCGGAGCGGGTTCGCAAAAGAGAAAGAGAGAAGGAAGGAACGGAGACGAATAGAAGGAGAGAACGTCCACACGGTCGTCGTCCACGAAAGCGCGGCGGGCGAGGAGGAGCGTGCGTGAAAAGCGTACGTATACATCGTACGAAGGCCTGCCGTTGTCTCGTTAGCGTCTGTGTCCCAGGAGTGAGAGGGAGAGGAAGGAGGCGGAGAAGAGAGAAGGAAAGATAGGAAAATATTCGCGTCGCAGCTCGTGCGTGCATGCACTTCGCATCGGCGGATGGTCCATCGGTTTCCACATCGCCCGGGATCGGAATCGTCGTCATCGGCTCCTCTCGCGGCGCGATAAAAAATATGCGTGCTCCTGCGAGTGTCCGCTGCTCGCTGCCGCCGTCGTTGTCTCGTCCACGGTCGTACGGTGCGTGCTTCGCCACCGCCGCTGTCACTGCCGCCACCGCCGCCGC